CCCCCCCCCCCCCCCCCCCCCCGGAGACACATGCCTTGGGCTTTCACCCCATGACATATATTAGTATTCGGACTCGGTCTTGGACTCGATATGAGACTCGATCTCAACAACCTCAGACTTGGTCTCGGACTCAATCTTGGACCTGACCTCAAACTTTGTCTCGGACTTGATCTCAGACTTGGTCTTGGACTCAATCTTGGACTCAGTCTTGGACCCGATCTTGGACTCGGTCTCGAACTTAGTCTCGGACTCGGTCTCAGACTTGATCTCAAACTCGGTCTCGAACTCAGTCTTAGAGTCACTTTTGGACTCGATCTCAGACTTAGTCTCATCCAATGAACTTTTTATCATTTTGGTTGTGCTTTTGGGGATCCTTTAGCCTTTGACACCTTGGGGAGTTGGTTCCTTACATGTTGATCAAGTTAATTTTAATAGATTATGATGTTATTTCCTTTATGTGATACATTTAAGTTAATGATATTTTATGTTCTTTTAATTTTTTTTGTAAATTGTTTAGCATGCTATTTGAAATCTTAGGTTTGGCATCGCTTAAGTACTTTGGATCTTAAGTATGTGAACGTGCATTAATGATATAGAAGGCTAAAGTACAAAAGAAATAAAGATAAGGTTTGAGTGTTAATTTGCCCCTATAACTACTGTGGCAACCACCACTTCTTTTTGTTCATAAGTCTCAATGTTTGAGTCTTGAGACTCAGAATGATGCTTCTAAACACAAGATTAATTTCCTATGCTTTATTCAAAAAATGGCATTATGCTTGAAAAGGATTACACACTCTATATGGAGGGATGAAGCACTCAAGCAAAAACTATCAAAGCTCGAGAAAAAAAAAGTGACCCCATGTCGTGGAGAATAAAAAGTGAAGAGAAGCTTAGCTTAGTTTTATTATATCCTAGTTTTCTTTCTCTCCCAGTACTCAAAGCAAGATAAGTTTTGAGAACATAAAAGCTTAGAATGACTTACCCATGAGTTCAATTATAGCATGCATTATTCCTCTTTTCCAGTTTCTCCAGCTTCTTTATAATGTCTCTATATGGCCTTCTTTAGAGCGATACGATACTAAGCATGGGATCCTGAAAATAAGAACAAACAAGAAGAAAAAAATGAACAAAGTCCCTTTTGTGATCAAGACTTACACTTTCTCCTCTTGTAAATCTTCTTTGCCATTCATTGACCTCTTGCTTGCCATGCCCATGTTGGCAATGGAGACATTGATCCAGAAATGGGATCCCAACAGAAAATCCACGACTCTATCAAAACTTACTACCATGCCAAAATTCCTTGATCACCGATGGAGTTCCTTCAAGCCATTCATTTTATTTTCTCTATAAGTGAAGGTATTTATGGCAGAACGTCACACTGCACTAGTAACTTCAATTGCTTGGCTAGTCAAAAATAGTGAAATGCTTTGTTGCAATGGTACCTTGTCATAGAGTGTATGTTGATAATAGTCTCGTCAAGGACACACTTCCAGACTTTTGTCGAATGTCTTCTTGTGTAACTATTAAGAGTTATGTTCATCCATTTTCTGTTGCATCTAGATGAAAGTCCTATTGGATTGGAGCTCTCTGCCTGGCTCCTTAGTGTGCTGCTGCTGCTGCTTCACCGTCACAATCATCTGCTATCTCAACATCACGATCTTCTGTAGTTCCACCAGATCACAATCTACAGAACTCACCAAATCTTGGCAATGATGTCAGTGCCAAGATCGATTGGACAGCAAGCGTCCTCTACACATCTACAGATTTTCTTTATTTTAGGACAAAATACATTATTTTAGAATCAAACTTAAAAAATCATAGTCAATTTATATATTTGCAGCTGATCGATGTGGCAAAAGGGCATATCTCTACATATGGACCTTATACAAGGGAATTTTCTCAAACTGGATAATATAGAGAATTTTTGTAAGAAGACTTTTGCTGGAATGTTTATTTGTATTATCGCTGATGGTCGGGTCACACCTTGGGCACCTCGGGTACCCCAAGCTACCAGGCTCTTTCACTTGGAAGTCCAAGGTCAACTCCTAAGAGGTTCTCCAGCAGCAGCTAGGATCATGGCCTGCAATAGAATGTGAAACTAGTTAGTCTCAGTAAGAAATAAAAAAGAGAAAAGCACCTGATCAAGAGACAGAGGTCAAACAATCGCGAGACGTTGAGGCCACAGTGAGAACATCTATCTCTCTGCGTTTAGTTTTTTCAGTCTGGACTAACTAGTTTAGTAGAGAATCCAAACTCGTTTGGGGAGCCATGTAGAAGATCAAGGTACTTTTCTCGCTAAAGCCCTAAAACTAAAAAAGATTGTCTCTAAACTGGAATTTTTATAAACTTGGCAATTACACTAAAAATTACAGAATTAAAAATTGTCCGTGTGAATGATTGCTAGACTCCTAGAGCTCCAGCGACCTCGGGATTCTAAAGAGGAGCTCGTCCTAGCGTTCCACCTTGCGGTGGTGATCGAATTCTCTGTCGATTGGCGATGTTGTTGCGCTTCTCAATTTGAATTTCAGCCGTTGATATTTGTAGTGTTTTACGGGTCGTGAAATCGATAGATACTAAAGAGGAAATCACTGAACGTGAGGCAACTCGTTTGGGTTGAGTTTCGCTTGGCACTCTCGTTTGCACACTGCTCCAAGTGAGCTAAAAGCTTTTGACCCTGTGAAAATAGAAGCTCAGCCTTGCTGTGTGAGCACTAAGTTTGCGAGGAAGAATTTTAGTACCTGTGGCAAGTCAGGATCTATCCGAGCAATAACCAAAAGTCTGCGAAGATGAACACCCAGGAATGCTGGCCTGTAGAGGTATCCAGGAGTTATGGCTTGATATGCGTGCTTTAGAGCTTCTATTTGCTTGCACGAGAGACTCCGAGCCCTCTCAACTTGCTGCCATCGATCACAAAACCAACAGTGTTACGAGAAGAGAAGAACGAAGGGAAGAGACTACCTTCTTGAAGTGCTTCGCTGGATTGTGCTCGTTTTTACATTTTCGAACTTTCGTGATGGGAACATAATTCGTGCTGAAGGGATGCCTCAAATCCATCAAGAGAAGCTACAAAAAGGAAATGACACCAGAGCAAAGAGTCAGTAAAACAATTTTCTGTGTTAACATTCCATACCTCTATTTGTTCCTTTGGAACGCCTTTCTCTAGAACACCAAGCGTCGCTGGAGGGAACTCTACCTGCCTCTTTTGAAGAAGCTCGTACTCTTGTGACGTCATGGCAGAGTAGCAACCGGAGAAAGGATCATTGCAAGCCCACTCCCCTTCAAACTTACGCCTGATCTTTGGCCAGTAGAAAACTCCCCATCCTTCGCGAGCGTCCTTGCACCATCCTCCATCGTACCAGTTCCCGTTCTGATAATACTGCACAGCAGTTTCAAGGACTGTCAGTGGTTCGCCGACAGAAGAAAAACCGAAAGAATCTGAGAAAACCTGCTTAGTCTGTAGAAACAAACAAGGAAAACGAACAGGAATGTTACAAGAGTTCCCTGACCATGCCTGCGGCCTTTAAACCATTCTCCATCGTATATGTCTCCATTGTTGTAGCGCAGGCAACCCCAGCCACCATGCTCGTTATCAACAAGCTCTCCTCTATACTCCTGTGAAAAGAGATTCAAGAGAAACTTGAGAAACTACAAAGGAAACAAAGAAGGAAACCGAGATAGTACCTGTCCATTGGTGTAGTGGACTTTGCCATAGCCAGATTTTCTCCCATATTCCCACTCGCCCTCGTAGAGCAAATGATCTGGATTCTTCTTAGACTGAAAAATCCTGTGCTCGCCAGTCCCATGAGGAGCTCCTCCCAGAATCTCCCCAGCATATCGCCCTCCAGCGCGACCACTCACGAGCATCCGACCCTCCTCGTCGTGGAACTCGGTCTTCTCCTTGACATACCTGGATTTTGGCTGCATGATCCCATCCGCTAGGTATGAAGTGAGCGATCGCTGCACGGCTAGCAGCGATGGCGGCTCCACATCCCTGTGGCCGGCGGAAGGCGGCCTCATGAATTTCTTCACCTTGGGCTTGGTGGGAAGCTGGCTGGGGCGGCGCTTGTAATTCATCATCGGAATGGGAGTACCTGGGGGAGATGCTGGCGGCGAGTTCTTCTCTTCCGGCATTGGCGGCGGCGGAGAGGAAGACGCCATCGCGATCGATCACGGGTTCCTACTCTTTCCCGCCTGACCTAAGTTTCAAAATAGAACGTGAAAGGGTAAACGTCATAGCGATCGACAATGGACGGCTCGGATTGGCCCTTGTTTGTTTGTGTGTTCGAAACCTGGTAGTGATAACGACCTTAACTGCTTTGTTTAGGTTTATGGGAGAAGGAAAAAATGGAGAGCCCTTCCGTCTTGTTCGAGAAGGCGATCCCAGTGACGATCAAGAGCTCCAGCGATCGACAGGCGCAGCTTACATTCCGGATTCTCGTGGGACGCAGCAAGCATCCACGCAGCAGCAAGGTAAAAATGTCGCGATTTTGTTCTCGCATTGGAATGCCGATGCGCGGATGCGCGCCTTCCAGGTCCTCCAGGTCCAGATTTCGGATGAGCTCGATCCGTTCTTTCTCTACTCGCTGGAACTAGACGACGAGGATTTCAAGAGTCTCAAGGTCGACCAGTGCATCCTCGTCGATTTCTCGGTTTTCCCTCACAAATTTATCGAGCTGCTGGAGCACTGTCTCGACGCCAAAAGCGAAGATCATCGGTACCTTCATCTCATGGACTTTCGCGTGTGAGCTCATGACTTTGCTGGTAGATTTCTGGCAGTCTTGAATGTCCGGACGGGGGATTCGACGCTTAATGTGGTCGAAACGAACCAGTTCAAGCACGTCAACCATATCTCCCTTTGCTTTAGACAGGGTAACGATGCCACTGTGAAGTCATATCTTGCTGCAAGGCTGGGTGACTATAAGGTACGCTGCTTGAGTTTTCTCTTGTCACTAAAAGTTCCGTGAGAATTTCCAGGGAGAAAATCTGGATCTTCATCAAAAGCTCCAAAAGACACTGGAATCTCTCGAGAATTCCATCAAGGAAGCTGATAAACTGAAAGAGTACTTATTCGCTCGTTCTGTAAGAAAGTGCTAGCTAATAAGATTGTTTGCTTTGTTTGATGCAGAGATCTTGGCAGCTTCAAAGGAGCATATTCACGCGAAGTTACGGAGTTGACTGCGAAGCACACTGTGGACGTGTCTCGTGTGAAGGAGAAGGTTAGAAGCTTGCACATATTGATAATTTTGTTCCTCTTTCTCACGTTTCACTGGCGTAGGCAATGCAAGAATGTCTTGCGATGAAAGAAAAGCTGGAGCGAGACCGTGCCGACATGGAATGTCGCCTACGCTTGAGAGCTGATGCTCAGGAGAGTCACGTTTCCCAGCTGGACAAACAGGTAATTCTACAGCCATTTTATTGGTTTGCCCGTCTTCTCACCGAGGACGGATATGGTTGCCTAGTTGCGTGAGTTGACGAATATAAGGCACAATCTAGAAGTTAAAACTACTGAGTACAAAACGAAACTTGAAGTTACTGAAAAGGAGCTTGAAGAACGGCATCAGGTACCTGGTTTGATATTCTCTATTGAATGTTTAATCCAAACTGGCATGCAGGAATGTAGTTCGCTGCGCAAAAAAAATGTGGGCTACGACAACAAGCTGCAAGACTACTCCAAGCAAATTAACCAGCATCTGATTCGCTTGGCTTCTCTAGAACAGGAAGTAAGGTAACTTTGTACTGTCGAGGACGAAAAATAATCCCTGGATTCAGGTTCAAGCGAAGAATGATCTGCTTTCCAACATGACTAATCGACTGGAAAGTGAACTGTCTCATCGGTAGGTCTGTTGTTTTAATCAGCTCGGAGCACTGAAATCCAGACATTCCAGGGCAGCTTTGGAGATGGCTTTGAGGGATGCTCAAGCCGCACATGAACGGTTGGAAGAAAAAGCAAGTGCAAGCATCGCCGAGGCAAACCGATATTCCCAAGCTGTCGAGAGGCTGCAGGCGAGTTTTTGTTTTTGTTCTTGTTCTTCTCGCATGAACTACTTGTCTATCTACAGGGTGAGCTCAGGGCAAGCAAAGCTAAAGTGAAGCTCAAAGCACAAGTAACGTCACAACAGGAGACATTACTTCAAGAAAGGCAAGTGACAATTGAAAAAAACACGGCCGACAGCAACTTCATGCGTCAAGAAATAGCGAGCTTAAAGTCCGACAACGATTGTTTGAGAAAGAAGGTAACAGTTCTGGATTCCCGCACGATTTCAACACATTCATTCGTAACAGGTGGACGAGTCCAAGGAAAAACTGGAGGAAATGCAAGAGATGGCAAAGTCTAACCAGCAAATGATTCAGTACGTACAGATTTTTTTTTTTCCTGTGCGAAACCCACGGCGCTCATGTCTACGTTTCAGGTGGCTAAACCAGCAACTCACGGATTCACAGCTCGCAAAGCTTGGACACCACTCTAGATACTGCTACAAGAGTGGCGACAGCGCAACGAGAGGATTCGCAAGCCAGACGCTGTCATCACTGGTTGGGAGCTTATCATCGCCGCCACCACTCAAGTCGAGCAGCAGCATTCTTCCACACACGCAAACACACGCGCACCTTCACGCCTCCAGCCCGAGCAGCGTCCTCACAAACTCGTTACTCTCGAGCCGGGGAGCTACAAACGGCTCCTCACCCGTGTCCAACACCGGCATCAGCAAAGTCGTATTCAAGCCTCCACAGAGCTGCGGTGGTGGTGGCGGTGGCGGTGGCGGTGTCCACTCGAGCAGCGCGACGCCGACGACCCCGACGCCGCTGGAGACATCGTCTCAGACGACGAGCGTTTCGATCTACAAGACGGACAACCTCGAGAGCAACCAGCGGACGTTCACGGTGGACATGAGGCGCAAGCCACACCTCTCGCTCGCGGAGCCGACGAGGCTTCCATACAGCTCCAGCCAGATGGTTCGCAGCGGCGGATTTGGCACGAGAACCGGAAGAACAACGGACGAAGAAATGTCGTCCATGTCTTCTCCAGTCAGCATTGGTTGACTTTAAGGAAAAATTTGACCGTTGAAAGCCAAATCGTTTGACTGGCGCTTTAGGGTTCCTGGTGGCTATGGCGGCCACTTGCAACATCGAGGGGCGAGGCGGTGCTCTCGCCCAGCTCGGCTGTCTCTTTGTCGATGTGATTTCGACTCTCGTAACATCTGCCGTGCATTCTTTGCGGCTTCTACTTCCTGGTGCTTCCTCCAGGTCTGGGAATTTCAAGCTGTATCAAGGCCGGGTGTGGCACGAGCGTCGCCGGCCTGTTTTGCATCGATTCGAGTACAACGTGAGCTACGCGCTGGTGGATCTTGAGAGGATGCCGGATTGGTTCCAGGCAAGAGCTGCGCTGGATCATCTCGGTCTTGATCAAGCCCGGGAAATTGCCGGGACAAAAGGTCCTGTGTAAGTAGAGGAATTTCTTTCTCTCCATTCGATTACAAACTGGAAGCTCGCTGACTGGGAATTTTTACAGCCATCTATTGACCATACCAGCGAGCGTGGGATACGAGCAGAATCCACTGAGCGTTTACTATTGCTACGACATAGATGGAAGTTTGGCCAAGTGCATTGCGGAGGTATGAAAGAGACAACGTTTCTTATGAGATTAGATTTCTTTGCTTGAAGAAAGAGCTCTGTAGGTGACGAACACGCCCTGGGCCGAACGAGTGACTTTCGCTTTTGACCCTCAATCGGATATGGTTCCAAAGCCACTCCATGTCAGTCCCTTCATGGTGAGTTTTCCTTTTGTGATTCCATCCCACAAACTTAAACTTTTAAGCGCAGGACATGCAAGGAACCTGGAGGATTCAAGCGTCAAATCCCAGTGAAGAACTGCAAATCGCGATTACTGTGCAGCACGCGGAACTTGGGAACAACTATTTCTCAGCAGTTTTAAAAGCCAAAAGAGTTGAGCATACCAAGGCTGCTGAACTTCTGTTCTGGCTGATGCCTCACAAAGTCGCAGTTTGGATCTATTGGCACGTAAGTTTCGTGCAACTTTGGATCCAACGTGTCCTCAAGTTCTTTCATCCTTGCAGGCTGTTGTGCTTCTCATAAAAGGTGTCCCATTTATCGCACATCCTAAATATGTGGATGGAATTTTATATCGAGAAGTTGCAAAGGGGCGAGATAAAAACCTGAATGGGAATATAGAACGGTATTGTACATGGCGGGAAGCGCATTGCTGGCCTTGGAAGTAAGAGGGAAAAACAAAAATTGTAAGCTCTTATTAATTAATTACTATTAATAAATATTAATTTGTTGTCATTGAAATCCTAGTAGCTATTTGTATCAGTAGATCGAGCACTAAATGAACTAAAATTTAACTTATACTGAATTTAGAAATCTAGATAGTGGATGTTTAAATCTTCTTAGCTTTAAAATCTAAGAATGGTTGAGAATTATTGAGAGATTATTGATAGTAGTAATCTTGAGATCTTTGTCACCTTTACATCATTAATTCAAAAGATTTACAAGGATCTTTTCATCTTATTCTAAATCTATGCATGGCAGAGTCACTTTTACTCACCACTTATAAAGCATATATTATGTCTTGCATTGATTGGCTATTCTCAAATATAGGCATCTTCTCTTGGAGGAGTTTAGTGAACTGATTGCTCATGAGATCATCAAAACAGCTTATTATAATCCATCAGTCTCATGCTTCTTGGTGAGTGCCACAATACCTTATAAACAGCTAATGAATGAAATAACATGCAAAGTAATACTTACCTGGGTGTTGAATGACTTCCCACCATCAATTATGTTGACAGTAAAGTGACAATGATGATGATCAGAAGAGCTTAGAAACTTGTCATATTGCTCTATCCTTGCATGGTCCTGGTCATGAAGATCCAACCTCTTGTAAATCCCTAAAAACATTAGACTAAAACATTTAGTGTTAAGATCTCTAGGATTATTCAAGTGTTACTCCATAGCCCTGTTCCTGGTTTTATACTTAAGAATTTACATTTAGTTCCCATTCCACTACCCATGGCACACATGTCCAAGGGTTAAGTTCTAGTCCATGATTATCATATAATAATTCAAGGTGGTGAAGAAACTTGGTTTTCCTGTGGAAAAGAATTCAGTAATCTACGAGGTGGTTATGGCAGATGGACATAGCACTCGTGTTTACGGTAAATGGGGTCCGAGTGTTCCTTTGACGGTTCAAGGGATTCTCGACCATCCTTCATTCCAGGTTATGGATCTTGGTCGCACAGATGTTATTCTTGGGAAGGAATGGTTTTATGATAGGAAGCCAAGGATCGATTGAGAGCGTAATGTTCTGCGTATCGAAGCTAGTGGCATTATAAAAGAGATTGTCGGGACAGACAATAGTGATACTCTATTGATTAACATTTTGGAGTTGGTGACATGCTCGCATGAGATAGTTAGGTCTTTTGTGGTGTACCCGTTTCTTTCTAATTTGATCATGTCTGATTTGGAGTACATTCGTGGGCATGAGGCATAGGTGGATTCCATTCAGGAGGAGTTCCGTGACGTATTTCTGGATGAGTTACGTAATGGTTTGCCTCCAGAACATGGAATTCAGCATGAGATTGACTTGGTTTCTGGAGCTACTCCTTTTCAGTGACAACCGACTCATACTAATCCCGCTGAAGATGAGGAGATTAATAGACAGCTTGCTAAATACCTTTGGAAAGGGTGGTTACAGATCAGCAAGTCTCCTTGGGCTACTCCAGTGGTGATGGTCAAAAAGAAAGATGGTACATGGTGTCTCTACATGAACTACAAGGGATTAAATGATAGGACAGTGAAGAATATGTTCCCGATCCCTCGTATCGATGATTTGCTCAGTTATCTTCGTGGAGCTCGATATTTTTCGAAGATTGATTTGAGGCAAGGATATCATCATATTTGTGTCAAGCCAGAGGATGTTCCGAAAACTGCATTTCGAACATGGACAGGTCACTACGAGTTTTTAGTGATGCTGTTTGGTTTGAAAAATGCTCCTGCAACTTTTCAGAGATTGATGAATCACGTTCTACAACCTTACTTGGGAAAGTTTGCAATTGATTATTTTGATGATATCCTAGTATTCAGCTCTTCTTTGGAGGCACATGAGATGCATGTGCGAAGTGTTTTACAACTTTTGGGGACAACAAGCTCTACTCGAAGTTATCCAAGTGCGAGTTTTTTTTAGAGGAGATTGGATATCTTGGGCATTTGATTTCGGTACATGGAGTGAGAGTTGATCCCGCAAAGATTTAGGCCATGGTTGATTGGCCTATACCTTCGACAGTGTATGATCTCCGTAGTTTCCTTGGTATGGCTGAAGTTTTTCGATGATTTGTGAAGGACTTTTCAGGGATAGTAGCCCCTTTAACTAATCTTCTCCAGAATATGTCGAAACATGCTACTATTCATGGTTGGGATGAGAAGTGTGAAGTGGCATTTCAACGTTTGAAGCAGTGTTATATCTCTACTCCGGTGTTGAAGATTTTTGATCCTGAAAAGCCACTTGTGGTGGAGACAGATGCAAGTGACATTGCTATTGGAGCCATATTGCTTCAAGTTGGGCATCCTCTTGCATACATGAGCCATAAGTTTGATGCCACACAGCAGAATTGGCATACTCGAGACAAGGAGTTGTATGCTGTGATTGCTGCTGTGAAGGAATGGCGACATTATCTATATGGATCGGACTTCCATGTGGGTTCAAACCATCAATCTCTCCAATATTTCAGTCGACAAAAGGATTTTCGAGGCCGCCTTGCTCATTGGCAAGAGTTCCTGCAGGAAATGTCTGTTAAGATCCGGTACAAGCATGGAGGTGACAATAAGGTGGCTGATGCGTTATTCAGGATGGTAAATTCTATCTTGTTTGTGAAGGTATCCAGCGATCTCTTGGATGAGTTTAAGAAGTTTGTTGACTTCGACTCCTTTATCACTGATATTCGCGCAAAGGTTTTGTTGAGGGACACCTCTACAGATTTGAAGAGTGACAAGTTTGCGTCATTCGAAATACGAGATGGAATTCTAGTGAAGAAGGGACATGTAGTGGTTCCTCGTATTGACAAACTCATCAAACAGATTTTGGTTGAGTGTCATGATATGCTAAATGCTGGGCATCCGAAGGTATTGAGAACATATATGTTGGTGAAAAGGCATTTCTTTTGGCCTGGGATGAAGTCAGATGTTGAGAAGTACGTACGTGGTTGTTTGACTTGCCATTCGGTCAAAGTTGATCATCAAAAGCTTGTTGGCCTCTATCATCCTTTACGTGTACCTGAGAATAAGTGGGATAGCATCTCGATGGACTTTATCATTGGTTTGCCCAAAACCTTTCGAGAAAATGATGTTATTTGGGTTGTTGTGGATCATTTGACGAAGATGGCTCACTTCTTCCCTGTGAAGACAACAATAAAAGCTTATGAACTTACTCAATTGTTTGTAGACTAGTTATTCAATCTCTATGGTTTGCCGGGTGACATTGTGAGTGATCGGGGTCTTTGAAAAACTAGAGACTAAACTGAGTATGAGTAGTGGTGAGCATCCAGAATCTGATGGGCAGATAGAGCACATGAATCAGCTATTAAAAGATATGCTACAGTCTTTTGTGGGAAACTTGATTCAACAGGGAGTATAGGAGAAATACTTGCCTTTGCTTTAGTTTGCTCACAATAGTGCTCATCAATTGGCTATTGGCATGTCTCCCTTTATGGCAATGTATGGCTATGAGCCTAGGTCTCCTGTGAGTTTGAATTTGGCTTTGGTTCGGGTTCCCCATGCTTGTGATTTCCTGGAAGATATGCAAGACAAGCTTGAGTTGGCAAAATTGAACATGAGGCAAGCTCAAGAGCGAGACAAAAGATTGGCTGATGAACATCGTCGTCATCAAGAGTACAAAGTTGGTGACAAGGTTTTCCTTAAGCTGTCAGATGCACAACGGTCTCTAAAAGGAGGTGGCAGTGCTAAGTTGTCTCCACGGTATTGTGGACCTTCGACAATTTTACAGTGTGTGGGGGATCTTGCATACACTTTAGACTTGCTAGTTAGTTCAAAGATTTCAT